ACCACGTGGTCCGCGCCGATGGCGCCGTCGCTGGGCGCGGCCGCTGACGAGCTGCCGCCAGCTGGCGTAGGCGAACTGGCCGATGCTGGCCTCTTCACGACCTTGGGCTTCATCATCTTCATGTAGTTGTACTTGATCTTCTCCTTGTTCTCGTGCACCTGCTCCCTCGTCAGCACGCCGTCGCAGTAGCGCTTCGCCAAGTCGTTCGCCCACGTAGCAGCGTAGAGCTCCAAGTCCTTCAGCTCTGAGGGGGGCTGACCTGCCTCCTGCCACCACTGGGTGTCACCCTGCGTGAGCTGGTCCTGACCGTGGACGCGGACGGCGATTAGCCTCTGCTCGGGCTTCCCTTTGGGCCTGTTCCAGCGGAAGAAGCACCACACTCTGTTGCCATCCTTGTCCACGCCGTCGAACAGGTCGATGCCGTTCGGGTTCGACGTCTTGCTGGGGATGGTCTTGACACCTGTCGCATCGCGACCATCAGGGGCCTTGACAACTCCGTGGATCGCGTCCCACCTCTTCACTGTCATCTGCGGAACCTCCCTCCTCATGCCACCAGCCCACACCGCGATGACCGCATCCTCGGGATTGGCACCGTGTGGTCGTTCAGTTCGAATTGCCATCTCTGGTGGCGTGCTGGTCGGAGCAGTCGTGGGCTTCCTTGCAGCGAGCCGTGATTCCTTGTCCCAGCTGAACACGTAGGCCGTCTCGTGATCGCCATCGAACGTGGCGCTGGGCTTCTTCATGAGGGCGGCGTCGGAGCTGGCGGGCTTGCCCACGACCACGTCGTTGGCAGCTGGCTTGCCTCTCCGTGCCTTCTTCGCGACTGGTGGCTCCTCGTCCTCGTCGTCCTCCTCGGGTTCGCACACGGGCTCCTCCTCTTCTCCTTATTCATCATTGTCGTTGTCCTCGCCAGCACCACCTCCGCGGTCACCAAATAGAGCAACGAACCATTGTGGTGGGGAAGCCCGTCCGCGATACACAGCGATGTGCCTGCACATGGTTCGGAACCGTCGGCCTGTCGTCTCACTCCATTCGGTCAGCTCCGCAGCGTCTCGGAACGATATGTGGTTGGTCTCGGCAACGCTGCGCAGCGACGGCTCCACGTCGCTCTTGTTGAAGTGCAGGTCGTCACTGAACTCCTCTGCAGAGCTGCGATAAAAACGCATTGTGTTAGTGTTACCCCCCATGTGACCACATTAATGAACGCGATGACGGGTGGAGATCATCGCGGCGATAATGATATGGACTAACGAGACGATAATGGTTGCATTGATGTTGGCGATGACGATGATGACGATGATGATGAGGCTCAGCATGATGGTGATATTGATGTTGATGTCATTGGATATGTGTGGGGGGGGGGGGGCTGGTGCACAATTAGAGGGGGGGCTATGACGGGAACGTTTGAATCGCAGTGTCCGTCAGCAGCGCATTGAACAGCGGAGCCTGCTCTCGAATCTGTCGCTTGTCGATCTGCGATTGCTTGATGTTCTCACCGTATGTGATCCACGTGGCTTTTCTCACGAACTTGGAAAAGATGCTCGTGAGCTGCTGACGTTTGGTATCAGACATGCTGCTCGTGTGCAGCCATCGCACTCGGACCGAACAGCTACGTACATAGGGTTATGACGTAGGTGGTCAGGCCAGGGCGGTGCACGAGACGGACGGCGACGGCTCTGACGACGAACCACAAAGAATGCGAAGACGGGCAGGAGGAGGAGGAGGAGGATGCGAAGCACGGGGGCGAGGAGGAGGAGGAGGAGGAGGAGGAGGAGGAGGATATGAGGAGGCGGATGAGGAGGAGGAAACTAATGAGGAGGAGGATGCGAAGGAGCAAGAGGAAGACGGCCCATGGAACCATTACACGCAACACCCCAAAATTGCGGATACGAGCGAGGGTGACGTCGGCAGTCCGCGAGATTCTGGAGAAGCCCGCCGCAGGCGCCAAACTTTCACAACATATACAACGAGCGATCACTAGGCGCACATTTGTTCGTTAAAAAATGTGGGTAGGTCGCGGGTGGGTCGCACATGTGTCGCGGGTGGGTCGTTGTTGGGTCGCGGGTGGGTCGCGGGTGGGCCGCGGGCGGGTCGCAGGGATTTTCGCGGGTGGGTGGGTGGGTAGCGGGTGGGTCGCGGGTGGGTCGCGGGGTGGGTCGCGGGGCGGTCGCGGGGTGGGTCGCGGGGCGGTCGCGGGGTGGGTCGCGGGTGGGTCGCGGGGTGTGTCGCAGGTGGGTCGCGGGGTGGGTCGGGGCGGGTCGCGGGGCGGGTCGCGGGGTGGGTCGCGGGGCGGGTCGCGGGGTGGGTCGCCCGTGTGACGACGACAACACACAACACCAGCCTAACACCGCAACAAGCAGAATCCACACCACGGATCCCCATTCCAGCTACGAGCCCACGGACAATGAATGGCCGTTCGGCCTTCTCATTCTGACTACTACCACTGCCACTACCACTACCACCACCACTGCAGCTACGATGAACACTAACAATGTCACACAGTAGCAGAGGTAGTAGCGAACACTAGTGGCCGTGGCCTTGGCAGGACTAGTGGTCGTGGTAGTGGCAGTGGTAGTTGCAGGTGCGTAGTATCAGTCTACTGATATACCCTTGTACCCGCTTCGGGCCTGCCGATCGGGATCTGTGGCGGCCACTGAATGGTCGCCGTGCTCAACTAGTGCAGCAGCTGACCGCCTGAAGTCCTGGTCTCACCAACGTGCCATGCCCATTCTCATCCTCCACCGCACCTCGGAATTCCGTTCACCTCCCACCCGTTGATCGGCTCTTTGTTATGGCTTCGTGATTTGGCGGTGGGAGTTTCACGTTCGAACGCGGCCTGATCCAACGCGACAGGGCTGTGGATCAGGGCGCGTTCGAACGTGGAATTCCCGCCGCCAAGTCACACATGCACGCGAATGGGCCGAGCAACGGGCTGAAGGCGAACGGAATTCCGATGATTGTCGACGTGGAGGGGGCGAGGAGGGAACAGTGCAGGACGAGGAGGGGGAGGGGGGGCGACCGACGATGTAAGTGGGTGGGTTGGGCACAGACGGGCCAGTATGTTTTTTCTCCATCCCCCCATGCATCATTCAATGTCTCCCATTGGATCCTCCTCGATCTGTGAAGCGGTCGGCGGCGGCAGCGCGTCTGGGAGCGAGGGGACGGTCTGGGAGTCTCGAGCGGTCAGCTGCACGGACTCGGTGACGTCGGCCCGCTCGGCGGCCGCGGCGGCCGCCGCAGCGGGCGCCGCAGCGGGCGCGGAGGGCTCCTGGAGGGGCGCCTCGTCGGACGAGATGGTCTCATGATCAGCGGGCTCGGCAACCTCTGGAGGCAACCAAACTCAAACACTCGGGACCATCGCGGGGGAACCTGGGGCCATTGATTTTGAATCGCACCTGTTGGTGCGGAGCGTCAGCCACGGACTGCGTAAATGGGACCCACCGCACAGGCAGCGTTCGTTGACCCTTCTCCGTCGGTGTCGGACTCCTCTGGTCCATCTTGAGCTGTTTCTGTTAGCCGTGTTTTAGGGATGAGGAATGAGCAGTGTTTCTGTTAGCCGTGTTTATGTTAGCCATGTTTCTGTTAGCAGTGTTTATGTTAGCCGTGTTTTTGTTAGCCGTGTTATAGGAATCAACAGGGCTCAGGGAATTGCAAACGGTGTCCTGGGAGCTCGGAGCTGGTTGCGACATGCCTCAAGCTGCGCGTGGACGCGTCCGAGGGTCGGGGATCGCCTGGGCGATGGGGCTTCGAACCAGAGCGGCGGCGCCAGCAGAGGGGGAGCCGCGCCAGTAGACAGGTATGGAAGACTATGGATAGGGAGAACGGATGGGGAGGAACAGAGGGCGGCGGTGTGGATGGAGAAGATTTGGGCATTCCTGGAAACCTTTGTCTGGATTCCTATACATCCCGCGGACATCCCGAATCTTCCCGAAACTTCCCGAAAGTTCCCGAAAACTTCCCGCAATCTTCCCGCAATCTTCCCGCGATCTTCCCGAAACTTCCCGAAACTTCCCGAACACTTCCCGCAAACTTCCCGCAAACTTCCCGCAAACTTCCCGCAAACTTCCCGAAACTTCCCGAAAACTTCCCGCAAACTTCCCGCAAACTTCCCGCAAACTTCCCGCAAACTTCCCGCAAACGTCCCGTAAACGTCCCGCGACCTGCCCGCGACCCGCCTTCCTGCACATTCTATCGTTATCTGTAGACATGCAACGACACTGACCAATATAGAAAAGGTGAAAAGGTGAAAAGGTGAAAAGGTATCTGAAAAAAGGTGAAAAGGTGAAAAGCGAACTTGCGGGTAAAAAGGTAACAAAATACTAGTTACCCAAAAAGTGTGCTAAGTGACCTGTGGGTACAGGGCGCAGGAGCGAGCGAAGAATAAGGCTCGCTATCTCCTCCACCGCGCCCGCTACCTCAAGTATAAAAAGAAGAGGTGGGCTGCGCACTCCGAGGAGATCAACGCCCGCAGGCGGAAGACTACCGCCGCCAAGCGCCGGCCCGCCGCGGCCGAGTGACGGGGCCCTCTCCTGAGGGGAGCAGCGCCCGCCGGTGCTCGCGCACCTCCGCCTCCACCACCTCCTCCCCAGGAGAGCCCGTCTCCCACCATCGACCCCACTGACTCCACACCAGCGCTCAAGATCGCCACCATCAACGTTGCAGCACTCACACGCGACCGACTGCAGACCCTGCTCCAAGCACTGCACCAGACAGACTCACAGGTCGCCGTCCTGCAGGAGACGCGACACGATCGACTTCGGCCCCGCTGGGCATTCACACTTGCAAGGGCATGGGGTTGGAGCATCGCCTTCAGCCCTCCTCCCCCTGGCAACAACCGACAAGCAGTGACGAACGGCGGCACCGCCATTCTATGGCGCCCCACCCTAGGGAAGACCACCGTCGTCCGCGACCAGGCCCTAGGCCACCGTGTTCTTGGCCTTCGGACCTCCCGCGCTGTTTACTGTTCGACTTACGGGCCTGCTCAGGCCGATTGCGCTTGAATGGCTCGTGCACGAGCCTATCTGGAATCGACCGTCACCGACAACCACCCGCTGTTGGCCATCGGCGACTTCAATTGGAAGCCCTCCTACGACGTGACCTTCGCCGCCGGCTGGACGAAGGCCCCGCCCGCCACCACGACAACGGCAGCGACGGCACCCACCAGAGCTCTGGCCTTCGGAGGACCAGACACGCCCACACCAGGGTACCATGACCGACTCCAGCTGCCCGGGATCCCTCACCACGCCCTCGTCTACTACACGGTCCGACTGCACCACCCTGCACCGCGACCCCGCAGACGGCTCACACACACAGCAGGTTACGCCCGCCTGACGCGCATCCCCGACGACGTCGAGCTGATTCAGCACGCCGTGGACCAGCAAGTGTCTTGCACACCCGCCGGCGCCAGCCTGACCGACCGCTGGGCCAACTGGCATGCACGAGCAGAGCAGACCCTCAAGGAGGGCGTCCGGCTCGGCTGGGTTTACATCACACGCCCCGGGGAGAGGGCGAAGGGCACCCTCCTCAAGATGCGACCGACTGCCACGCCCTCATCCTTCCGACCTCCACAGACGGTCGCCCACCGATGTCTACTTCGACTCCAACGTCGCTTTGCCGAGGTGCTTCGACGCGACCCGCGTCCGCAGTACCTCTCACCACGCCACTTGGACTGCTACGCTCGCTTGGGTCTGGACGGCCACATCCAGCTCGCCGACGGCACTCCCACCTACAACGACGCCGTCGAGGTCCTTACGTCAGGGATCAACGAGTGCGAGCGGCTGGCTGCCAAGGACGCTGCCGCCCGCTGGCGCGCCAAGTTCGCTGAGTGGTCAACGTCGCTCTGGACCACCACCACGCCCATGTTCAGGGACACTCCACCAGCAGCGCGCCAAGACGTCGACATTTTCAGGCAGACGTGGCAGCAGCAGTGGGACCCACCCAACCACGACGCCGACGGCCACCTCCAGCGCTGGCGCTCCTGGGCGGCAAACGTCGCTTTCCCACGCTCCAGCCAGGCAACCGACTGGCCGCCGAACTACCACGTCTTCGACAACGCGGTCCAATGCTCCAAGGGCGCGGCTGGCTTCGACGGCTGGACGGGTGCGGAGCTCCGTCTCGTCGCCGGGATGGCCCCGGAGATCACGCACGAGCTCTACAACTTGTGGTGCAACACCACCCGCGAGATAGCCACCGACGGCATCAACGACACCGCGGCCATGCAGCTGTTCAGTTGGAAGATCGTGGGCATTCCGAAGAACGAGGGCGACTCGAGGCCCATCGCCGTGGGCTCCTGCATCCTGCGCCTCTGGCTGTCCGCCCTCGCAGGGGCAGCCCCCGAGCCGCCGACCCACCAGTGGTCGTGCCGACGTGCCACCAGCGTCACCCACGCCATCTCGTCGCGGCTCCACTCCTGCACTCTCAGCAGGGCGGGCTCGGAACACGACTTGTCCAAGGCGTACGACAACATCGACTTCGCTATCGCGGAGGGCGCTTTCGAGCGGCAGGGCATGCCGCCACACATCACTCGGCTGTGCGCGGCGGCGTGGCGTGCTCCACGGTTCTGCACAATGGGAGGCGAGCTCAGCAAGCCGATCTGGCCGAAGCGCGGGCTCCCCCAGGGCGACAGCCTCGCCCCAAATGCTATCATCGGCACCCTTACGCCGTGGGCGCCCGACTCCGGCCTGGCGTACATGGACGACCGGAGCCTGACGGCCACCGACGAGGCTGCCCTCGCGGCTGACGTCGCCATGACCACGAGTTTCGATAACGACGTCGGCTTCACGGAGAACGCCAGCAAACGGCAGACCTGGAGCGTCGCCGACGACCCGCCCAAGCGCATCGAGCACCTCGGCCTCACGGCCGC